TAAATTAACTCATAAAAATCAAATATAATTTCGTAAATTGCATAAACAATTATGAACAAAACGGCATCATGTATTTATGCCTTGCTTAATACAAAGACTCGAATCGCCCATCACGCAGATTGCATTAAAAACATAAGAGACGCAGTGAAAAGGAATAAACCTCCACAAATTTGCGACGTGTTTTCTAAAAGTTTAAACTGGTTTAACTTTGCATGGCTACATCTCTTGTGCGAGACGCGAGTGCAGCAGTCATATTTGTCCGTCTAATAAATGCGCTGAATATGCATCTGTGTGAACGGCTTGGTTTCAGTTTTAACCTAATCAAGATCTTCTCTGCATTGAGCTACTAATATTTTGAATGAATAACACAGCAGCGGCGCGTCTCGTGGTCTAGAGACTAACAAATCATAAAAATGCAACAACGTCACTTACGTCATCACCGCATCTCGCGTGCCACTGATACTGATATATATGTATATATATATATATGTATATAAAATAGTGCTGTCAAACGATTAATCATGATTAATCACATCCAAAGTAAATGTTTTTTGTTTACATTATATGTGTGTGCTGTGTATATTAGTTTTAACCTAATCAAGATCTTCTCTGCATTGAGCTACTAATATTTTGAATGAATAACACAGCAGCGGCGCGTCTCGTGGTCTAGAGACTAACAAATCATAAAAATGCAACAACGTCACTTACGTCATCACCGCATCTCGCGCGCCACTGATACTGATATATATGTATATATATATATATGTATATAAAATAGTGCTGTCAAACGATTAATCATGATTATTCACATCCAAAGTAAATGTTTTTTGTTTACATTATATGTGTGTGCTGTGTATATTTATTCTGTATATATAAATACACACACACAGCATATAATTTAAGAATATTTACATGTATATATTATATTCATATAATTTGTTATATATATATATATATATATATATATATATATATGAGTATATTTAATATATAAGCATAACCTTTTTTTTAACTATAAACATGCATGTGTGTTTATATAGTATTTATTAATATTTTGAATCACCTCTTATTTTATTTATAAAGTGACTTTCCCATGTTTAGGGTCATGTTCTTTTGCATGTAGGCTGTTTTTCCCTTCCCAGAATGCATCCTTTGCTGGTTTTGAGCTTGTCTCTTGATCTACAGAAAGTTTCCTAACCCTCTGCTGTCCACGAACCGGAGGGACATGAAGATACGGGCTCTCAGGAGACGTTTGTGCCTCTTCCTGTTTGAGGAAGACCAGCCGCTCATTTAAACACATTAAACAGCAGAAACGCTGCTGTCCACTGGAGTTTTACTGGCATGCTTTGATGAATGCGTGTGTTTCTGCAGCGGTTTGCTCGCTTGTGTTCGACATCTCTCCAGTGTTTGTGGTCAGTCACACCTCTATATTTAGAGCTTGTTATCAGCTTGTTTTCTGTCTCTCTCAAGGCTCTCTTTCTTCAGATGGCACTCAGTTGGCGAGCCTTATTTAGTCTGATGTGAGAGAGTGTGTGAGTGTGAGTGTGTGTGTGTGTGTGTGTGTGAGAGAGAGTGTGTGTGAGAGAGAGTGTGTGTGAGAGAGAGTGTGTGTGAGAGAGAGTGTGTGTGAGAGAGAGTGTGTGTGAGAGAGAGTGTGTGTGAGAGAGAGTGTGTGTGAGAGAGAGTGTGTGTGAGAGAGAGTGTGTGTGAGAGAGAGTGTGTGTGAGAGAGAGTGTGTGTGAGAGAGAGTGTGTGTGAGAGAGAGTGTGTGTGAGAGAGAGTGTGTGTGAGAGAGAGTGTGTGTGAGAGAGAGTGTGTGTGAGAGAGAGTGTGTGTGAGAGAGAGTGTGTGTGAGAGAGAGTGTGTGTGTGTGAGTGTGTGAGTGTGTGAGTGTGAGAGTGTGAGAGTGTGAGAGTGTGTGAGTGTGAGAGTGTGAGAGAGTGTGTGTGAGTGTGTGTGCGTGTATGTGCGTGAGAGCATGTGAGAGCGTGTGAGTGCGTGTGTGTGTGTCAAGTCACCTTTATTTATATAGCGCTTTTAACAATACAGATTGTGACAAAGCAACTAGAGTGTGTGAGAGTGTGTGTGAGAGCGTGTGAGAGCGTGTGAGTGCGTGCGTGTGTGTGTGTGTGTGTGTGTGTGTGTGTGTGGAGGTGAGCTGTTATCACTTGCCCGAGTGTTTTCATGCTGCCAGATCTTTCCACAGAGAAAGTTCGATGCCTCCAGCTTCACCCTGCATGGCTCGTTTCCATAAGAGAGCATCTAAGGCACATCTGAGGAGCCTTATCATCTGAGGCAGCTTTCTTTGGTTATTTTCTTTCTTCCGAGAAAAAAAACAACTAGATTAGATGGAAAGGGCTGCATGATTAATCCAAACCAAAATCACTAGTTTGCTGAGGGTCACTTATAACACACATTTAAAAACACAACATGGGTCAACCATATTCCCACATAAATATTATTTTTAGTAATTTTACATTTGCACTGTAAAATTAAATTATATTATATTCCTTACATACTCTTAAATATTTTTATTTTATTTCAAGTATTACAATACTAATGTTTCTTATTTTTGTTTTTTTGTAATAAATTATTGTTATTATATTACTGTTTCCTGAATTTTTTCTTTAATACTCAAGAATTTACTTGAATATTTAATTTTTATAGTAAAATATTACTATGGTAATATTTTTTTAATATTTATTTTGTTTAATCTTTTATTTAGTACTAGTAAGAATAAGAATAAATAATAAAGAATACATTATTATTATTATTATTTGCAGTTATAAATTATTATTATTATTATTTAGCCTTTATTTGTACTGTAAAAATAAATTATTATTATTATTTGCTTAAATACTCATAGATACATTTTTTTTTAAATTTTTTTAATCATTATTTTGTTTCATATTTCATTCAGTACTATAAAATAATTATTATTATTACTACTACTATTATTATCATTATCATTAATAATTTTTACTATTAAAAACAATAAATTATTATTATATATTTTTTTTATTACATTTAGTCAGTTATATTGTAAAATAAAATAATATTTATTTTACAGTGAAATATAATGCTAATATTTATTTATTTTTGTTTAATATGTTATTTAAATAGTAATATTAAATTGTCATATTGATATGTAATCACAAAAACAAACAAACTTTTTTTTTTTGCAGCTCTGCAAACATGCACATATTATTTGCTTAAATACTCCATTATACAGAGATACATTTTTTTTTAATTTTTTTAATCATTATTTTGTTTCATATTTCATTCAGTACTATAAAATAATAATTATTATTACTACTACTATTATTATCATTATCATTAATAATTTTTACTATTAAAAACAATAAATTATTATTATATATTTTTTTATTACATTTAGTCAGTTATATTGTAAAATAAAATAATATTTATTTTACAGTGAAATATAATGCTAATATTTATTTATTTTTGTTTAATATGTTATTTAAATAGTAATATTAAATTGTCATATTGATATGTAATCACAAAAACAAACAAACTTTTTTTTTTTGCAGCTCTGCAAACATGCACAGCTAACATTTTTCCTCACTTTACAATTTTCTTCCTTTGCTTTTAGTTGCTTTGCACCAGGTTGGATGTCAGTGATGCCAAACGCTTTTCCCGAAAGCTTTTCTCCCAATTTCTTTCCCAAGTGTGACCTCAAATGAGGCCAGATACAGAATGCAAAAACAGCCACTTTTGTGTCATGAAATGCACACAGAAACCGCATGATGACTATTGATTAACAAGGCTTCAGTTACTGTAAGGAAATCTGCTGCTTTGAATTGGACAAAAGCCCTTTCTGAAGGGAGCGGCGCGTATCCGATGTCTGGGAACTCCTGGACGTTTATTGACGGTTTTGTTTTGTTGTGTAATTTTCTGCTGAATGAAGCGAGCGAGTCTGATGATTATTTCTGTTGTGGCAGGTTTTCACTGGATGTGACTCGTTCTCACACGCGGCCTGATTAAACCGGTACAATTTACCCTCATTAGCATGTTTAACTGCTCTCGTCACAATAAAGCCATTCACTTTTCTAGGTCAGTGCTGAATTGAAAGTGATGTGGTGTTGTTTTGAATAGCTGTTTGAGAGCAAACGCAGCGTTTCTTCATGTGTTTGCAAGAGAAACCTTGTCTAATATTTTAAGGCGTCATAGGTGTAAAGCCACATTGTAAGACAGCGTCACGTGTGTCCTTCTGAGAGAAAGCAATCCCAGAATGCACTGCAGCAAGATCAAGGAATTGCGTGTTCCAGTAATAATGGCATATTTATATGTTAACTATTTTGCATTCATGTTAATATTAATGTTCTAGTTGTATTGTTGAAATAACTCTTTTGGTTATTGTATTTTTTCTTGAATAACAAAGCATCAGAAAAGCAACGAGGCCCATGGAAAAACTTTAACAGTAAACAACGTGAAAAAAAAGTCAACTCTGTATGTAATATTGTGTAAATAATAATAAAATAGTTTTAAATAATGTATAAAATGTCATATTTTATCCATTGTTTTTGTTGTTGTAGCCAATGTTTTCTTGTTTATATTTTGTTTATTAAAATAAATACAAATTGGGTACAAATAACAAAAAATATATATATAATATTATGTATATATATATAAATTAATAAACATAATAAAAATTAAGCAAAAATGTATTGTCGACTTTAAAATTGAATATTTTACCTATTATTTTTGTTGTTGAACCCAGTATATTTTAATCAAATATATATTCTAATAAACAAATAATTGGCAACATCAACAAAATTATAATATATATAAATACATTTAAAAAAACTAAATTTAATTGAATTTAATCTGTAATATTTTATCAATTTTTATTTATTTATTTGTTCTTTGAACCTATGATATCGTCGTTAGATATTTTGGTTTTGTTATATGTTCATGATTAAATAATCGATAAACAATTATGAAGCGTATAATTTATTTTTCCTGCTTGTTTTGCACAGATAATAATGACAGCGCTCATTGATCAGGGTGAGGACATGGGCCTGGTGATGCCGATAGAGCTGACGGACCCTCAGAAGGACGACGACCCCCAGGGGCCCGCTCACTTCAGGCAGAGCCTCATGTGAGAGCCGCACACATCTGCAGGATTACACAATAAAAGTCCTGAACGGCATTCACTACATCGTTTAAAAAATCTGCTTTAAAGCGCTTCACTTTCCAAACCACTCCAGCATGCGTCAGTCCTAGTTTCATTCCCTTGATAGTGTGTGCGATTGGGACACGATGACTCACAGAAACGCAGGGATTGGTTTTCTGTAAACTAATTCTTTTACTGGCTGTGCTATTGAATTCGCAGCATCTCAGTCTCTGTTAAATCTACACCCTGTTCCCACAAGTCTGTGCTCGTTGTCCTCGGGCAGGTTTGCGATCAGGGCCGGGCCGCCGTCATCCGTAACGCCACAAACACACAGTTCTGCTCGCTCTGTTTGTTTAAACATCTCCCCGCCTCAGAGCGTGAATTAACCAAGCACTTGTAATGTAATGACTGTGTTTGTGTTTCGCCCTGATCAAGCAGGTTTATGAAAAATGTCTCCGAGGAAGGTGGGTGGTGCATAATTTAGAAGAGTGCAGGTTTGATCACAGAGAGAAAACACAATTTGATCTGAGAATCAGATCTGGTGTCATTCACTAAAACTAAAACCATAAAAAAAGCATGACTTGAAATAAAAGTAACATTAATTGAAATAATAAAATAGAATAAAGTAAAGTAAATGAAATGAAATAAAACAAAAAAAAAATTCAATTTCAATTCAACTTTATATTGAAGCAGTAAAATTACTAAAACTGAAATAAAAAAATAAAGCTAAATAGAAATAACAAAAAGGAAATAAAATAAAGCTGAATAGAAATAGGGGGAAACGAAATAATAAAACTGACAAAACTGAAATAAAAATGACGCTAAATAGAAATAAAAATAGAAATGACAAAATAATAATGACAAAAACAGTTACTAAGATTTAAGCATATATGTATATGTGTGTGTAATATATAATAAAGTAATAATAATGATAAAAACATGAAAAAAATTATATATTATTATATTATATAATATATCATTCACACACACTAAATATACTAGTAATACCAGCAATACTGGTAATACTTCTAATATAATACAACTAAAATAACATTGTTCTTTAGTCTCTCATCCAGGCATGACTAGATATTGTTGTAGAGACAGTATGAGGCTGATATGTTTGCACAGGACAAAGTTTTGTGTTTTTTGCATCCAGTTTTTGTCTCATTTGTTAAGCGAAGTTTGCAATATGAGAAGAGAGCTGTCTTGTGCAATTTTTAGATTCAAATATCTAAAATTGACAAAGACACTATTCATGCACATGTAATCAGGCTGTTTGGATCATGTGAGATTATTTCAAGTCGTTTGCGATTGATGAGAATCTGTGCACGTGGGTTTCTGAACCAGAGACGCAGTGATCCGTAAGCGGATAACGTGGGAGCATTTGTGTGCGTGTGTGTGTGTGTGTGTGTGCGTGCGTGCGTGCGTCGTGTGAGTGTGTACATGCGTGCATGCGTGTGTGTGTGTGTGTGAGATGGTTGTGGTGTTTGGCTGTAGATCAGAGGCCCATAGAGGTAAACAATAGAGAGAAAATAAGACTCATTAGATGGAAACTGTACAAAGATGCCTTTGAGAGAGGAAGAGCCATATTACTGTTGCTGACGTGATAAAACTCCAGCACTGATGATTAAAGTTCAGTTTGAGCTTCAGACGTGAATGAATCATCAAATCAATCTAATCATTTCACCTGCTGGACCAGAAAAATCCCACAGACGCACACTGATGGAGGGAAAGAGGTGTTGATATTCTTAACTAGACCTATTAAAAATTGTTTGTGGTGAGATGTGCATGCATTAGTGTTTCAGCTCTCCGCTTCAGATGTCCCTTTTCCTTTTAAATAATCCCTGCTAAGAGTTAGGTTGAGTTTTTAGTCATCTTTTTTGTTTAAGAATCATCCTAGATGGCGTTCAAACGGGAACTGACGAGCGTCTTCACGACGCCATTGCTGAGATGCTAGAAAAGCAGCTGAACACCATAAAGTTAAGCATGTTTGTGTTCGTTGGTGAGGAAATCTCATTGATTTCCATGCGACTTGATTCCTTGGAAAAATATGTCAAAGCTAGGGTTGGGTACCGAAACCCGGTGCCGTACCTACAGTGCCTTGCGAAAGTATTCATACCCCTTCATTTTTTTTACATTTTATGTTGCTTCCTTATGATAAACTTCTTTAAATTACTTTTTTTTCCCACATCAATCTACACTCCATACACCATACTGACAAAGCAAAAACAGAATTGTCACAACTTCGTAAATTAATTAAAAATAAAAAACTGAATTAAGTACTTTGCATAAGTATTCATACCCTTAACTAAATATTTAGCTGAAGCACCTGAACAGCCTCAAGTCTTTTTTTGTTTGATCTGACAAGCTTTGCTCATCAGCATTTGGCAATTATCTGCCATTCTTCTCCTCACCTCTTCACCTCTCAAGCTCTGTCAGGTTGGATGAGGGCAGATGCACATTTTCAGGAATATTTGATTGTGTTCAAGCTCATGCTCTGGCTGGGCCACTCAAGGACATTCACACAGTTGTCTATAAGCCACTCTTGCTTGTCCTGTTGGAAGGTGAACCTTCTGCCCAGTCTGAGGTTCTGAACGCTCTGGACTGGGTTTTCATTAAGGCTATCTCTGTATTTTGCTGCTTTGAGCTTTTGTTCTACTGTGACGAGTCCCTCAGTGACTGAAAAACAGCCCCACAGCATGAGGCTGCTACCAGCACACTTTACTTTCTTAGACCTTTTATTAAGACACGTGTGCCTTTCCAAATAATACCCATTCAATTGTATTTGCCAGAGGTTAACTTCACTTGAAGTGTAGTAATATCTACAAGCAAAATGAATGCTCCTGAGCTAAATTTCAACTGTCCCAGATAAGGGTATGAATACTTATGCAATGGAATAAACCCTGGCGGCGCAGCGCGAGCGGACTCAAACAGAGACAGAGTACACAAGGTGTGGGTTTATCGATAGATTGTTATAATATCTGTATCTGTGCAGTTATTTGTCATACATACAGTTTACAAAAGGTCACGAGGTAATCGGTTTCCCATCTAACGTTACTGTAAAGTTTTCGCTGACACCTCATCACACCACAGCTGTTTCCTCCTGTGAAAATCTAGCCCTTAACACATATGAACGCATACTTTATAAAACGATCGTGTTGCTATTTTCATTTGAAAATGTTATATTTAATATAAAGCATATTACAGTGCATGTGACATACCATAGTCATTCACAGACATGATTAAAGAGAGTGACAGGCAGCACTCATTTTCACTCATTTTAACTAAATATCAGAGTGACTGACAGAGATACATTTTGTGTGGTTTTGTATTAAATATTGTTTTGTATTAAATAATGACCCAGGTCGTGAAATACATTTATTAGCCTTAGAGTAAGGGAAGCACAACTCGGGAAATGAGAGCATACGAGGAGCATGTGAAGGCTATGTATATTTATTTTAATGTTATCCATCGTTTTTTTTTTGGGGTGGCTCTTCTTTTTTTTTTTAAGTATCGTTTCAGGCACCGGTAACGTTTTAAAAGTATCGATTTGGCACCAGTATCGTAAAAAACCCAATCGATACCCAACACTAGTCAAAGCGTTCGGCGGCAGATTTGACTACATGCAAACCACGGTGCGTGATATCAAAAAGGATTAGATCGCTAGAAGAGCTGCAGGAGAAGCTATGGCTTTATGAAGACAAATCTAGACAAAATAATCTAAGGCTGGTGGGTCTGCCTGAAGGAGCTGAAGGTGGCAACTAGGGATGTCAATTTTCAATTATTTCCATGATCGATCATCTTTTCAATTAAAGATCAATTAATCGATTAATCGTTAAAGGGTTAGTTCACCCCAAAATGAAAATTCTGTCATTAATTACTCACCCTCATGTCGTTCCAAACTTGTAAGACCTTCGTTCATCTTCGGAACACAAATTAAGATATTTGTGATGAAATCCGAAAGCTCTCTGACCCTCCATAGACAGCAAGGATACTAACACGATCAACGCACAGAAACGTAGCAAGGAAATTGGTCAAATAGTCCATGTGACATCAGGGGTTCAACCGTAATTTTACGAAGGTACGAGAATACTTTTTGTGCGCAAAGAAAACAATAATAAATGTATTCAACAATTCTTCTCCCCGAGGTACCGTCTTCCGCCATTTTGGAGAGTACCCCAGAACATAATCAACATAAAGGTAAATTTTGCCATATATTTCTGCCATATGGACATCATCTTGAGATAGTCACCACTGATAAGCTATTATATAATGCAGAAACTTGGAATTTTCTGTAAAGCTGCTTTGCAACAATTTGCATCGTGAAAAGCGCTATACAAATAAATAAATAAAAAACTTAAATTAAATTGAATTGAATAAACAGAGCTGGTTACGTTCAAAGCGCACACATGCTGAACATAAACAACGCTGATTACGTCGATTTATTTGTTTATTACATTTCAATATAAAATACCTTTGTATTGTTTCTGTTTTAATGTACTTTTAAAGTTTGGATCGTTAATGAATTATTTTCGCCAAAGATCCAGCGCCGTCACCGTAACTCACAGCCGCTCGCACGTGTTTTGCGCATGAGCCTCACACAGCCCAAAATTAAACGACTTAATCGACCATCGATAGCTTTAATTGATTGCATCTCTTATTGACAATCAATCGATCGTTGATTAATCGTTGACATCCCTATTTGCAACGCAATTCAGTTTTTTGCAGACCCAAATTCCGAAGTGGTTAAAAAAAACTTAAATTAAATTGAATTGAATAAACAGAGCTGGTTACGTTCAAAGCGCACACATGCTGAACATAAACAACGCTGATTACGTTGATTTATTTGTTTATTACATTTCAATATAAAATACCTTTGTATTGTTTCTGTTTTAATGTACTTTTAAAGTTTGGATCGTTAATGAATTATTTTCGCCAAAGATCCAGCGCCGTCACCGTAACTCACAGCCGCTCGCACGTGTTTT